TGTGAGCTGAAGCAGACCATGCTGCCAAATGATATGTAGATAACTGACTGTGGAGGCTTTTGTTTGAGCCATGTAATCGGTGATGAGTCTAACTCGAACAGATTTAGAACGTTGTCTGTGTCGTCTGGGATTGCCTTGTCCAAGTGAAAGGATGGAACTGTTGGCCCAATTGTCAATACTGGACATACCTTTGACATCGCATCCACCACCTTCTCATACATATAGATATGGAACTATAAATTATTAGGAAAGACAGATTCAAGATAAGACTCAACTATTTCTTCACCCAATTATCTCCTTAGACTCACCTTTCTCCATCACTTCCTACGTATCTATGTCATCAATAATTTAGTCATTTCTCATCAGGAATTTTTAAATTTGATTGAAGATTTAAACGAGTTTTCACTTTGAAAAAAACAAGAGAAAATTGAGTAATTTATAAAAAAAGAACAAAATTAAAGATTTAAGTGGAACTGTGTTGAAAAATTAAGTGTGATTGTAAATCTCATTGAATGATAAACACTTTGAGCACTTTATATGAAAGAAATCCATAAATTTATGATTTAAAAACTTTAATTTCACTTAATTTGCTTTGTATCTAACTGTTGTTAGTCTTTTGTATCTAACTGTTGCTAGTCTTTTCCATGAGTCCTTCTTCAAAGATCTTATCAAAGTGGTATTATAATCTTTTAGAAGTTTTACACAGATCATTATCTTAAGTTTAAATCTCTTAGTAATCTTGAAATTTGGTCGGAAAAATTTATTTATATTTCAAATTTTTATATATTTTAGTTTCTAAACTTTAAGTCTTTTTAATTTAAATGCGTTAAACTTTTTTAACGTGTAAAATGATATTTTCGTATTGATATTTAAATTATTTACATGGTTTAATCTCGTTTAACACACAGAACAAATTTAGTTTTGTTAAATTAAAAAAATTATATTTATATACATAGGAAGTAGAATAAAACGAAGAGTACGAACCTGGTCCTCTAGCTTGTAGAAGGAGTTGACAAGAAGTAGATCTGCTTTGTGAATGTTAGAAAACTGATTAATGACCAACTGAAAGTAAGCTGGATAGAAGGAAGGGTTAGAAACAAAGGGTGGTGCATCTCTGGGATGAAGCAAAGGAAGCCCTGGAATAGATATTGGTGATGAAATAGGAACCTTGATAAGTCCATGGTAGACATGGTAATATATAAAATTCACAGCACACATTTGAGTGAAAAAAGCAGCTCCCAATAACCCAAATTCCTTGGCCACATCCAACACCCATATCACCAAAGGGTCATACACCACACAATCTATACCCTCATCACGACCATTATTGTATTTCTTTATAAGTTCCCTCAAGGTTTTCGACCCCACTTCTTCCATGCGTGACAAATAGCTTTCTATAGAAACAGCTTCGGCAAATCCACCTTCGTCATACCCATCTGATATGAAATCAAGTTGAACGCTGCCTAACAAGGATGAAGATTGAAGATGCATGGAGTTGGAAATGAAAACGGTGGTGAGCATGGTCACTCTCAGTCCTTTCGAACACAAGCGTTTGCTGAATTGTAGCATCGGATTGATGTGGCCCTGGCTTGGGTATGGAACCACTAACACATGATTGCAACCCCTCGCTTTCTCTTCCATTTCTTCTTTCTTCTTCCTATGCTCACAACAATGACGATCATCACTTCCGATCAATTCTTTTTTTCTTTCTTTCTTCCATCAATCCACTTCACACCCGCTCCTCCTCTCACACGTGTACCAATCCATCCTTTACAAAACTCCCCGAGTTCTTACAAATGAATAATAACTTATTTTATAATTATTATATTCTCTTTCCATTATTGAAATATCTGTTTTTCTATAAATTTTTAAAGATCTATGATTCTCATCTGTGCTGGTCTACTAGGCATCACATCTTCCAGTGACATGACACTATTTTCTTTAAATAAAGAAGAAAAATAAGTGATTTTAGAATGAGTCAATTAATATTTAACCCTTTATTTATATATATTATTTATTATGTATCTACTTCTCTGTACGTAGGATCCCTTTATTATCCATCATGACACCAAGACTGCTTAAATACAAGTTATTCACACTTTTTGGAATATTCAATATGGTACGTCATATGATTTAATAATATCCATTCAACTTTTTTATGGTTAGAGAATATTTTCACATATATATTTATTGGTCTAAATATTTATATATTAATAGTATATTTGATTAATTTTTGTTAGTTTAATTACATCACCATATATATATATATAGATATATAATATAATATATATATATTATATATATATATAATATATACATATATATAATATATATATATATATATATATTTAAAAAATATTTGATAAATTGGTATCACGCTATTATTTCGATAATTATCATAAAGATAGAGTCATTATATTTATCGATATACTTGATTTTTTTGGATATTACCAATTTTATCACATGAATCAAAGGGCTCTAAAAACCCTATAAATATACACAATATTTCATCAGAAAATACATATTCACTCATGCTTATTCTTTTTTACTAAAAATATCTAAACTCTCTTATTGATCTTAAACGTTAGAGTGTTTTTTTATGAATAAATTTCTCGATATTTTTTCAATTTTCAGTTCAAAGATTATGATAAAAATCTTGATAAATAAAAAATATTAATAAAATAATTATTAATTATAACTTAATATTGTTTATTATTTTTAATATTATCTTGTAATTATTTATTATTATATATATAAATAATAAAACATTAGAAAATACAATTATAATTATTGTATATAAAATACAATGATAGAGACATATTTGACTTTAATAATGATAGAGACAATTACGAATACATGTAAACCTAATCCTAATACATGACTTTCATTGTGTTTTAATTCTAAACCTAATTCTAAGTCACAATTCATCAGTGGTCAAATCCAATTGTATCTATGTATCACTCTCACCCTTTATTTGTATGTCACGAAAAAGAGAGTATAAAAATTAAAAGAAAAGAGATACAGTAAAAGTCAGGCTTAAATATTTTTTTTTTTCAATTTTTATTCAAATTATTGAATTGGGTTTTTTGCTGTTTTGGTTCCGTTAAATCTCAATGTTATAATGATTCAATTAGATTATTTTAGTTAGATTTGTATAAATAGATGATAATGTTGTCTTGCACGTGCTATGTGTCTATTATTTTTGTTTTTTGTTTTTTTTTTCTTATTTTTTTCCTTTTCAATCGGATACATGAATGAGATGAGTAACATACATGTCTTATCTCCAACCTCATCCTTATTTCTATATCTACTCTACTATTCATTTTCATCCTCATTCTTGTTATCTTTAAATAATTTTACTGTTTTGGTATGTAAAAAGTTCTTTTAAATCTTTTAAATATTTTGTATCTGATTGTATTCTTAATTATACATTTTTATATATTTCTTTGTTTTTCTTTCTGCGATTTAATTCAATAGTGTATCAAATGTTTTAAGACACACTTAATTATTTTTATTTTATTTTAGTATTTTTATTTATTGTTTATTTTATTATGTAAAATAGTGTAATGATATTTTTATATAATTATTTTTATTTTTTAACTTATTTACTATAATTTAATAATTTAATGTTATTGTCATAAATATTACTTATCACCATTCAACATATATTGAAATTCAATATCAATGTAAAAAATATATATTTCATTAGAATTTTAAAAATGATAGTAAAGAGATATTTAATATATTTTTAAATTTGAATATATTTTCTTTTTATAACTTTTTTAAAAATAGGTCTAAATTTTATCAATTTTTTTCATTAATATAATTTATTTGATTATTATGAAATTTTACTTGATACTCTAATTTAAAATGTATATAATTATATATATATATATATATATATATATATATGTATTAAATATTTGACATTGAAGAATGCGTCATTTTAATATAAAATATTTGATAATATTATGTTTTC